TAGCTAGCTTGGCACATTTGTTGCTTAATTAGGATCTTTGCAAGGTGCTAGAGAACATAGATAGAGGGGTGTAGTCTTGGCTAGACCGATAGTTTTAATTCCACACTTGTTTTGGTTAGCCAACGTGATTAAGTTTTAGAAAGGACTATTCACTCCCCCTCTAGTCTGCCATCTTGACCCTACAAGCCCCTGAGGAGGAGACTCGCTGGTAATCCATTTTCCACTGGGTGTAGCCCCCCGAGCCTACGGCCGACTGGGGAGTCAGTCGGAGACTAAGCACCTTGGTACTCTTTTTTGGGGCTGCTGACTCCTGTGTTTCTTTCGGTTATGGTGTTCACCCATGTCCGTTCTGACCGCAACCTGTGCGGTCGGTTGGGTTCCTGAGTTGGGATCTGGCAGCTCAAGCCCCCGAGCCTATAGGGGCCAGTTAGGGTCGTTCACATGATTTCCTGCGTCACCCCATCCGTGGTTTCCACAACCAGAGGGGTTGAGCTGACGCCACTTGCCTTGATGCCTCGAGTGGTGGGCTTTGATGAGCTCGCTAATGGGCATGTCCGAGTAGAATCTGGTTCTGTCATTCGTGACGGGGTCAGCATAGTCCTCATGTGGCACTCCACTTCTCCTTAACCTGCCTCCCAGCAAATGCTGGAGTAGTTCTGGAGAGTAACTCAGGTGGCCCGATGGCCTCCCCTTGATGGAGATTCTATGGGAATGGCTCGAGGTCAAGATCGAATGAGAATGTTGAGATGACCTTGTCTGCTCTTGAGCAGGTCGGGCGAGGGCCGCTGTGGCTCATCTAAGTTTTCTCCCTGGCTCTGTTTGACGTGAGGTGGCCTCGAGCTCTTCGTGGGCCGACCTTCGAACCCTGGTCGATTGCCATTCATATCAAATGAGACGACTACCACTTCATGAAGCGACGCGGAGCGTTTCGATGCAATGATTGCATATGCAATGATTTGGATGTATGAATGCATGCATGAGAATGAATGCTTATATACTAGAAAAGTAAAATGGGGATTGGTAAAGTTACCTCGATGGCTCGAGTGACGAGTTCGGGGAGCTCCTATCGGATATGTCCAAGTGGAATCCGGTTCCATCGTTCATGATGGAGTCGGTATAACCTGCATGGGGCATCCCACTACTCCTTACCTATCCCTAGGTAGCCGCCCGAGTCATCCGATTGACTCAGGTGACCTACTGGCCTCTTCTCGATGGAGATTCCATTGGTGGGCCCCTCTAAACCCTGCTTGGGAAGGCAGAGGGTCGTTTGCGTGTGGTTGCGCCTCGTTTCCTGTTCCCAAATTGCGGTAGTGGTGGGCCTCGCCCTGGCCACATCCCATTAGCCAGGTGACGTCCCGTCGGACAGGCCGTGTCCCATCAGCTAGGGCCACGTCCTGCCGCACGCCTTTCTGCATTAAATAGGGGGAAGGGAGAGGGTTTTCCTCCTGTTCTTTCGCCTTTCTTCAACCACTGCCATTTCTCCTTCCTTCTTTTTGCCAAGCCTGTTCGTGTGCCATGGTGGTTTCTAGGAGAGAGAAGGACAGAGCGAGGGAGAGGAAAAACTTATAGATCCGCTCGTAGATCCATGGTGCGATGTTAAACTAGAGGCCTTCCAACGTGGATGAGGAGGTGTTGGCCACCTTCGCCGAGAAGGGGCTGCTCCTGTCAAAGGAAGTGGTGTATTGGAGGGCTCCTACACCGGGGGAGGTTGTTCCACAACCCCCGGCCAACGAGGTCGTCTCCTTCCATGCCTTCCATGAGTGCAGGCTCGGGTACCCCGTGCACTGGTTCCTGTGCGGGCTCCTAAACAAGTGGGGCCTAGAGTTGTAGCACCTCAACCTGACTAGGGTGCTACACATCGTGGGCTTCATCAGCGTCTATGAGGCCTTCTTTGGGATGGAGCCACGCGTGTACCTCTTTCGATGGATCTTCAGGGGGCGGGCCCTGTCCGAGGGGAAACCGCCCAAAATCGCTCCGGTCGGTGGGTTCGCCCTGTAGAAGCGGCCTAAGCCGTCGGTCCCCTACCCGACGTACTCCCCCAGTGACTCCAACCGGGGATGGCATGACGAGTGGTTCTACATCAGGAACCCGGTGGTGGCGCCATTCCTGACATTCACCGAGCAGAGGTCGGAGAGGAGGGAAAGCTGGTCATCGGGTCCTACCCGTCAACAAAACAAGCTGGAGATCATCGAGATGGAGCTTTGGAGGCTCATGCGGAATGGCCTTGATGGGTTGCAGGTCTTCCATACCTTCTTCTGCCATCGGGTTGCCCCATTGGCGGACAGAACACGACCGATGTGGGAATACTCTGACCTGATGGATCCTGACCGTGCATCGCCAGAGGAGTTGTCAAGGGATGAAGTCTGGAGTTGTCTTGATCGGGTGCTATAGTTGGGGGATGATGAGTCCCTCGAAGGGATGCCTGGACCTCTCCATGCAGTGAAGCTGTCCAATCTGGTATACTCCTTTCCCATGACCTTTTTCCTTTCTGTTTTGATCTTTAGATCGATTTTAAGCCACCTGTTTCACAGGGGCTCGCGGGGTATAAATCTCGGCCACATATTTCGAGAGGGGCGGAAGGCACAGCTCGGCAAGCCGCCTAGAGGGAGGTCGTGCTTGCGAAGAAGAAAAAGAAAACCAAGAAGGTCTAAAGGAGGTTTGAGAAGGAGAAGGATATCAATTGGTGGCGAGCGTCGGGAGGAAGTGGAGGAGGAGCTTGAGTGGCTCGCGGGGTATAAATCTCGGCCACATCTTTCGAGAGGGGCGGAAGGCACAGCTCGACAAGCCACCCAGAGGGAGGTCGTGCTTGCAAAGAAGAAAAAGAAAATCGAGAAGGTCGAAAGGAGGTTTGAGAAGGAGAAGGATATCAATCGGTGGCTCCGCGGTGGCGAGCGTCGGGAGGAAGTGGAGGAGGAGCTTGAGTCAGAGGACCCCATAGAGTCAGGCGACGATGTGGGTTCCTTGGAGGACTAGGGAGACGAGGGTGCTACCATGACCTTAGTGGAGTGTCGCGCTCCTACGGCTGCGCCTATCAGCGGCGGGCGCGGTACGGAGACTCGCGGTGACGCTCCTAAGTCAAGGAAATGGGAGGCAAAGCGGGCGCGGTCGTCGCACCCTTCAGAGGCGTCGTTGGCTTTGTGGCCCCCTGTGTAACACCCTTGGTGTTAAGCATTTATTAGGCATTGGCATTACATGAGCACCAGCATCATTGATCATTCATGAGCATGAGCATCTCAAATTTTATCTCTATGATTGCTTATAGCACATGTGTTTGTCACTAAATCCTTTACATATGCTAGTGTTTACATATAACCAATGTATAAAATGTGTGTGGGACCCTAGGAGTACTTTTAACATGCTTAGAATGTCATTTGGAACAACTTTGGTATTCACGACTAGGACTAGTTTGGTCTCTAAGTCATAGTTATAGTGTAACCATCAATTTCAAGTTGCATGTTTGACTGGTGTTGAACATCACTATAGAGACTTTGCATGGCTGAGCACCCTAAAACAAAGTTGTAGAACTCAATTAGTGTGACAACTTTTATTTTTGTGTCAAGGTCTAATACAGTGCTTAACATGTTAAAATTGCGCTCACAAAAAATCAATGCGGTTCTATTTTGAAGACTTAAATTTTTTTCTAAGTCTAAACTGTGTTTATAGTTTCAAGTACCCTAGTTTGGCGCATTATAGTTTGAAATCCGTGGCGATCTAGGCTAAGTTGGTATTGGAAAAGTTGTAGTACTCACTTAGATCTATCACGTAGTGCTTTTGGTTTAACAAATCACTGCACGGATCAGGATTATTGATCGCTTGAAATCGCGCGGTCAGTCACCTTCAATCGCTCGATTCAGAGCTTCTGCTCGCCGTGAGTGGCCGACAGAGCGCAGCATGTGACCACCGCGTGGCCGCCGTAGGACGACGTTGGGCCCCCATCGCGGCCGGGTGGTGAGTGAAAATCATGACACCGCGCTGCTCGTTTCCCTCTCTCATTTGCGTTCTCTCTCTCTGCTACTCCCTCTCGCACGTGCAACTTAGGCACTGAGCCGCCGATGCCATTGCTGGCCGCTCGGCACCTCACCACGCTCGCACTGCTCTCTCGCCATCGCTGTAGTTCCGCTGTGTTCCCACCACCTTGTCGAACCCCTTTGTGTAGCTAGCAGTGCACGGTAAGGCCCCTATGTTGTTGCCGTGGCCATCGCCGTCGTTCTCGCCGCTATGCCACACCGCACGTGGCCTGGTCACCCCCGACCACCATTCATCGTCCTTGCGAGTGCACCAAGTTTGCCGTAGGGTGTAGAAGCTCGGCAGAACCCTAATTTCACCATCCTGGCCAACTTCGGCATCGCACCATCGTCCCCGTTCGCCGTGCCACCATTAGCACTGCCGTCGCCCTTGACTTCCATAATCAGCGCCAACCATCTACCCCTTTGCGTATGGAAGGTCGTGAGGAGTCTAATGGTGCCGGTGCCGTCATCGGAGAGCTCACCGTCGGCAAACTTCAACCGGTCGACACCGGTGCTCTGCCTTGTGCCGATGACACATGGGCCCCAGCTGTTAGTCTGTGTGATTTGAATTTCTGATTTATTTTTTCTGGATTTCAATGCATGTTTCAAAAATTCATATCTCAAGTTTGGAGTGTCCAATTGTAATGAACCAAATTTTGTTGGATTCTTCATGAAGTGAAGTATTTTATAAAAGGGAATTTTTGCCACAGGACATCACGAAAATGCATATTTTGCTACAACACACCGCCAACGCCATTGTTTGCTGAGTACCATTATGAATTCGATTATGTTTGCCACAGCACACCGCGACCATTATTTTAATGATTTCTAGAGTTTGGGAGAGAGAAATCGCAGTGAGGAGACAATTTTGCCCCTACGCATTGCTGGTCTGGTTGGACCAGGTAAAGTCGGCCCGGTCGTCTCCCTCCTACCGCTGCCTCCCTTTTTCTTCCTCTGCTGGCGTCGTCCCGTTCCCCTATGCAAGAACCCTAGATCCCCAAGGCTTCGAGCTCGCAATCCACGCTGTTCGGAGCATCGCACTCGGCCTACAGAGATGAACTTCGCATTCTAGAGCTCGAGCCCTACAGAGATGAAGCAGGATTCTTGCCATTGGTACCTTGCTCCAAGTGCGGAACCCTTCTCATCGGTCGCGTTTCACATAAGGAGGGCAGCAAGGGGAAGCAGTTCTACAAGTGTCCACTGTTGGAGCATGTAAGTTGTGGTGGAATTGCATCTCTTTTTTGGATGCGTTTTTTTGTTGATTTTTTCATCTCTGGTTTGCAGACCGATTATGCCTATCGCACATACTACTTTGAAGAACACTATGTCCCTTTGTTGGTCTCCAAAGGTGTTCTTCCTCGCCATTTCAGTCAGCTTAGAGGTCATGATGGCATGGGGCTGGAGGTGATGAAGGATGGCAAGGACATGTTGAAGGCCTGCCAAGGTGTTGATGCCTGCCAAGAACTGATGGAGAATGCAGTCATTCATCTCAAAGATTCAGAGGCACTGCTTAAGGCATTAGTTGATAGCAATAGCAAATTGATGACAAAGATGGATAAGATTAGAGAGAGACTACTTGTAGTTGGTGCTATAAAGGTGTTTATTTTAGTTTTGTTAGTGTTGTTGGTTAAGTGATGCATAACAACAGCTTATCATGTATCAAGCTATCAGCAGCTTATTTCAAAGACTCAATTTATGAACCTTATCATGTATCAGTATGTAATCATGTATCCAGCATCTTATCTTGCATCTTCTTGCAACAGAATTGTGTCACACTCATTTTTGAACTGGCATAACACATAATTGTATCACACTCAGGAATTAAGATAAATTGGCATAACACATAATAAAGTCAGCATGCCAATAAAGTCTGGCCTTCATAACAAGCTTACATATCAGTGTTCATAACACAGCAGCCATAAGCTGTGACTTTAAGCGCAAAAGGGAAACATAGTCTGCCGACCCTAGGTTCAGTACACACTAGGTTCATGACACAACAGTTTCATTACATAACAACTAATAAATTTTGTCATCACATGTCTATGATCAACTTCTTCTTGTTGATCCTCTTGTTGGTCATCTCTTCTGAAACAGCCATTGTCTTGCTTGTTTCCATACTCTCAGACTTCTTTTTCTTGGTGGTCTTGCTCACTTTGCTTGCCTTGGTTGTCTTCTTGCTCAGGTCCTTCTTCATTCATTTTTTACGCCTCATATGTCATTTGTTGGGGGGAGTTTCAGCAGCATACTCCAATGCCCTTTTGCGACTGTTAGACACATAAAACAATAGGAATGACAGGAAAAGGTGAGGAAACAAGTGACAATGCTGGGCTATTTCAAGACAGATATTAAATACCTCCTAGTGTTTCTGTCTTTGGGTCTGTTAGTCGAGTGGTGGTGCCTTCTTGATTTCTTGAGATGTGCTAGGGTGTTAGTCGAGTTTGGGCTGTTAGTCGAGCTGGTGGTGCACCTTCAATTTGTGATTGTTGGGTGGATACAGTTGTTGCTGCAGCAGTGGTCTTCTTTGTCCTTGGTCTCTTTGCTGGTGGTGGTGCATCAGAGTCATACACAGTCTCATTGCATGTCTTCATCATGTGACCAAACTGACCACACCTCTTGCACTGTCTCTGGGAAGTTGACTTTCCACCTTCTTCAACACCTTTGATCCTCCTAGTTCTTGGACGGCCTGCAGCTCTCTTCAACAATGGGGGCCAAAGTTTGAAACCCATATCTACTTCAGGCCATTGATTCCTATCGGTCATGGGCTTGATCACATGTTCATATGCCTTCTTGAACTTATCAACTGAAAAGTAGTCATCCACATAGTCCTCAACACTTCTATTGCGCATTGAATGGATGAGACAGAGAGCATGAGTACATGGCAATCCAGAAATCTGCCACCTTTGACAGCTACATGTTCTGCTCTCAAGATCTACAGTATGCCTCCAAGTTTTCAATTCTTTAGTAGTACCTTGAATCTCTGCAGTGTTGTTGGGCCCCCTATGTATGACATACTGCAAGTTTCTACTCATAGCATGAAGTTCTTTGGTGACTTGAGGCAAGATCTTGTCTGTCAACCTCAGTGACAATGCCCTTCTGATATCTTGCTTCTCCATGATCATTTGCCTAATCCTATCCAACAGAGGAACTAAGGCAAGTGACTTTTCATTCCTAATCCAACTGTTGAAAGTCTCTGCTATGTTGTTAGTAACATAGTCACATTTGCATGCATGGGAGAACCTCCATCTACACCACAAGTGCTTGTGGTTGTCCTCTATCCATTGCATTGCTCTTGGTGATGCAGCCTTCATGATGTTGTAATGGCGATCAAAGTGTCTTTGGTTGTAAGCCTATTGGGTGGCCACAAGTGCTTCTTGAACTTTGCACCTCTATACCTCTTGTTGAAATTCTTCACTAGATGTCTCATGCACTCCCTATGTTCTACTCCATCCGAGAAGACAGAGGCAACTCCCTTATCTATACCTTTCCCTACATCATGCAGAGATCACTAGGCCTCGGAGGAGATCCAATGGCAACTTTTAGTTTCTCAAAAACCACTACCAGTTGTCGCAGATTCGACTCAAATACACCATATGCTCTTTGGAAAAAGCCGGTTGTGTCCATCCACACCTGAAGCGAAGCTAGTTGCCTCTCCATCTCCCCAGTTAGGTGGCTTGAGTCCACACTAATGAAGGGTCTCAGATCAATTCAAAAACCTTGAACACAGATGTTGAATGCCACAAACATCCTTGTGAACCTCATCTTCTTCCCAACCGAGCCCCTCACTGTCCCACAATGCTTCCTGATTTGTCCTCTCCACCTCAAATTTTGAATCAAAACATCTTCAAAGTGTCATCCCACTTGCCTTGAAGCTCTTCCAGAGCCATTGCCATTCCATCCCAAACAACATAGTATGAAAGTGTGATGTTGTACTTTTCTCCAAATCCTTCTTCATTTGGGAAGCTCTAGCTGTTGGGTCATGCCTCAGGATGTTAATAACCCTGTCCCTCACCCAGTGATTGTTAGCCATGCAGTTTTTTCCAGATTTGCTATGGTAGCACAAGTATGTTTCTGATACATCTTCTTTATCTGCCAACAACAAGTAGACATCAATAAGTAAACATCATGATCATCAACAAACATCATCAATAAGTATACATCATTAAACATCATGAATAAGTAAATATTAGCTTTGAAAAATGTATCCTCCACTTGCAATTGAGAACAGACCTGCCAAGTTTTCCCATCCTGCAATTGAGAAGCATGTATCCTCCACTTGCACCTTTTCTTCTTGCTCTTGTATCCTTTGCAGTGCCCTCTATACCTTTTGGCTTCACTATAATGAGCTGCAATTTCAAATTCTTTTAGAACAGCATACTATCTAATAGCCCTCTTAAAGGTGTCCCCATCCTCAAATGTGACACCACAAGCTATAGTTGGGTTCTCTAAGTTAGTAACATGCTCAGAAGTCTCACAACCAGCTTCATCATCAACTAACAAATCATCATGAACAAAAGAGTCAAAGTCAGCAGCTCCTTCTTGGTCATCTTGTTGGTCTGCCATATATTGGTTCTCATCATTGATCCCAACATACTCCTCATCATCTTCTTCCCATGCCACATCATCATCAGCAGGCTTCTTGCCTCTTCCCTTTCTTCCTTGAGCAGGTATGGATTTCTCAGTTAATTCACCAGAGTTAGTTGAGTCAGCTGTGTCTGAATCACTCACTTCCTCGCTGAGAGACTCAACAGTAGCACATGCCTCATTATCCAAAGACACACTCTGACTAAATGAAACAGGAACTGTATCGTAGAAACTCACAAACAAAGGTAGCCTCCTTAGCTCCCAATAGTTCTCAATAGCATTCATCAAAGTTGAATTAGAGGTTAGACTGGTATAACTTTGCTTGTGCTTGTTAAAAAACACAAATTGAACCCCTGATTCTTCCCAGGACACACTCTTTTAGATACATCCGCAGTTAAATCCTTGAGATTAAGAGTGTCCCTATCCCGAATTAGCTAAAAATCTGTTGCACTGTGACCAACGTGCCTACCGTCATCGCAAACCTCATAGTAAGCTGGGACACGCACCGCTATCCGTATTGCAGAACTAATGTCCATCCTTAAAAGAGTGGACAAGAACAAGAATTCGTGAAAACCCTAACTAAATCGTCCTCGATTTCATTGCAAGACAAGAACAACAAACAATTGGTGGAAGAGGGGAAAGTGCATACCCGTCAGGAACCCATGACAGATTCACCCCCTTCGACGGTGAATCGATGCTCGGGCAGAGACGCTTCTGTTGCACCGGCGAAGCCATCTTCACGCATCCATGTAATGGCACGGCGGCTACGACGGTGAGGGTGGAGTCGGGGGTGGCGGCGAGGGGCGCGGCGAGGGTAGCAGCTACGGGTGGCGACGGAGAGTGGCGGTGAGGCCGTGAGGGAGGTGACGGCGGCGAGGGAGAGTGGTGACGGTGGAAGGGAGAGTGGAGAAGATGAGCTGCGACGGCGTTGATCTGGTTTGGCTAGGGTTTGGCTCGACCTAGTCGGGTCCGGCTCAAACCTAGTCTGGCTCCACCAAGTCGGGTCTGGTCGACCAATGCCGATCCACAGGGGCATCTGATGTCATTTTATAAGGTTTCTCTCTCCCAAACTCTAGAAATCATTAAAATAATGGTCGCGGTGTGCTGTGGCAAACATAATCGAATTCATAATGGTACTCAGCAAACGATGGCGTTGGCGGTGTGTTGCAGCAAAATATGCGTTTTCGTGATGTTCTGTGGCAAAAATTCCCTTTATAAAAATATGAAATACATTGTTTCTTGTAGTTTTCAAGGTGAATAAAATGTAGCTAGATAAATGCTTTTTAAATGGTTTCTATCTTAAAAAAATGGATAACTTGAGCTTGGTATGTGCAAAAATTATGATTCCAATTTTGTTGAGTTTGTATTGACATGCTGTAGCTAGGAAAAATACTAAACTGGTAGTAATCTTGATTGGAGTAGGGTCTTTCTATTTATCTTTTAATAAGTGGTGTTTTCTGAGGAAATTCATATGGATAAAAATAAGTAATATATTGCCATGCAAATTTTTGTACAGTGTTATGGTACTAGGATGAAGCTAATAAAAATATAAAATCTATTGCTGGACACTTTTCAATGGGGGTAATTATTTTCACTAAAATAAACCTGGCTAGCTTGTCATTTTTGTAGAGGATGCTATACATATTCAAATGGTATGAAATTTATACTGTAGTCTATTGGGAGCACTAAGGAGCCACTGTAATTTTCTTTGAATTTAGTGTACACATTTGGTATATATTTGTTATTTCACCTAATTATCTAATTAAATTAATAAAGGCATTTAAATAAATAAATTGGGCTTGACCATTATGTTTTTTGGAGTGTATTTGAATTCCTAAACTATTGGTACCAATGGTGTTGCTCAATTTGAGATTTTTATATGCCGTGAAAATATTATTGCTCTATAATTCAATTTTAGAGGCGTTTCTGGATAGATTCTGTTGTTGGGTATTTTGCATAATCAAAATGAAGTTTACTATAAAAATAGTTAATAACAAAGTCATAGGAAACTTCTTCATCTATCTTGTGTCAAAATTTTAGATCCATAGGGCAAA